AGTGTATAGATTGTACAACAACGGACTCAGTACAGAGCCTTGTGGTAAGCCCCTCCAGGTCTTTCTTTGGCCAAACTCTTCACCTAAGGTCCTTAGGACTAGAGTTCTGGACACAAGCATTGCGCATATGCAGTGGATCATCTTAACCGGAATTCTCAGCTGATGCAGTTTCTGCCTGAGAATGGGTATTAAGACATTGTCATATGCAGCAGATATGTCGAGAAAAGATGTTAGAACAGATGCATTTTGTGACAAAGAAAGACGGATATCAGTTATTAAAACTGCAACACTGTCCATTGTACTGAGCCCTTTGCGAAAGCCGAACTGATAGTTTGGCAGTAGATTCCTTGACTCTACAATCCATTCGAGACGGTTTTTGATAAGATGTTCTAATAATTTAATAAGGACTGATGAGAGGGCGATTGGTCTAAAGCTGTTTGGATCACCAGCATGTTTTCCTGGTTTTAGAATGGGGATAATAATTTGAACTTTCCATGTATCTGGGATCCAACCGTTAGAATAACAGAAATTCAAAATGTTTAAAAAATAAGTTTTTGTACTAGGCTTGGCCTGAACTATGAAAGAATATGGAATGCCGTCTATGCCAGGAGCCGAGTCTCGCACACTGTTGAGGACCATGTTCAGTTCTTCCAGAGAGAACGGGTCGTCATGGGTATCCACTGACTGAAACGGTAAGTCTGGTAAGGTCGCTTCATCGAGTTGTGGGACATACGGGGGGGCTATTCTGTCCAGGAAAAGCTCAGCTGTATTGGGGGAGATAGAGGAAGAGACAGAGGGCGAACAACCAGATCGGAACCGATTTATGTTCTTCCACACCATTGAGGATGGGGTGGATGGGGACAAGGAGGAACAAAATTTAACCCAACCGGCGCGCTTCTTGCGTCGAAGGAGTCTTTTGGTAGAGGCGAAAACGTTTTGGTAGGTGAGTAGATTATGGGTGGTCATATCGGCATTGTATCTCCTTTCGGACTCCTTCCTATACTTGACTGCCCTAGTACATTCACTGTCCCACCAAGGAGGTGACGGAATTTTGCCTTTGCTCGAGTTTTTAATTTTGAAGGAACTGTCTGCACTTGATCTGATTGCCTCTACGAACGCGTCACAACAGTCCATCACCAGGTAACGATCATCCTGGGTTAAGGGTCTAAGGTCTAATCTGGGGAGAGCATTCACAGAGTTTTCGAGGGTTTGGGAGAAATTTTGCCAGTTAGCTTCTGAAAGGATATATTTTAAAAGGGGGGGGGGGAGATTTTACCAAGTGGGTTGAAGTTGGGAGGGTTACTAAAATTGGATAATGATCGCTACCATGGGACAGATCGGTGCACTGCCAGCTAGCAGCTGCGGCGATGTCGAGTGAGCAAATAGTCAAATCCACACAGCTACTATTTTGACCAGGAAGAACTCTACGAGTGGAGCAGCCACTGTTAAGTACGCAGAGGCTCAGATCATCGAGGATCTCCACTAAACCTGAACCGAAAGAGTCGCAGTGTTCAGATCCCCATCTATAGTGATGGCAGTTAAAGTCTCCCATAACCAATATTGGGCCCTGTAGATCCTGTAAAATCGTTCTCAATGTAGGCAGGAAACTTTGATGGGGGTGGGCTATATAAATAGAGAGCACAGATATGTTACAGATCTTAGCTGCAACCACGCTGATATCCTCAAGGAATGGGGGCAAGGATAGGGGAACTAAGGGGATTTTATTATTAATAAGGAGGGCAGCACCTCCATAGCCATCAGGCCTATCACATCTAAGAATATTGAAATGGGGGACATGGAAGTTGAGACTTGGTAAAAGCCAGGTCTCAGCGAGAGAAATAGCCAGAGGCTTGAATTTGTTCAACAGGAATATGAGGTCGTGTTTTTTATGGAATACACTCCTCACATTCCATTGTAGGAATACTTTGTGGGACGCCATTTTTGAAATTTGTTAAAATATTGATAAGTGAGACAGCAACGTTGGACGGTATAATAGACTGGGATAGAGATGAATTGGGGGATAGTAGGGAGGTTAAGAGTTGTAACAGAAGATCAATAGTTGAGGATTCAAGGGATGAGTTATTCATAGCACAACCATTAGGTTGTGAAGGTTGGGGAGGTTGAGTAATGGCTTGGTGTGCGACTTTATCGTAGGAGTGTGAGAGTGGGGATCGAGGTTTAGGTTGGCGAACCACAGTTTTTTTGTAGGACTGTGTGTGCTGGAGGGATTGGGTAGGCTGAGTGGATTGAGAAGGTTGAGGGAGTTGGTTGAGTTGTGGAGCTTTTAGGATGTCAGCGTATCGGCGTGTTGGAGAGGGAACAACCTTGCTTGCTTCCATGTAGGATATGTTCCTTTCCGCCATCATGGTCTTAATAGCTCTCTGTCTACCATACTCCGGGCAAGCCTTGCTATAAGCAAAGTGGTCACCGGAGCACAGCACACAAAAGGCCTCTCTTTCTGATACCTCACAACCATTACCAGGATGTTCATGGCCACACTTGCTGCATCTTGGTTTGGACCTGCAGATGGACTCCACATGGCCAAACCTGCAGCATTTCCTACACTGTACGGTTGGGTAAATATATTGTTGAACAGGAAGCGAGTTGTAACAACAGTATACTCTTTTAGGCAGAACCTGGCCATCAAAAGTGAGGACACAGGTTTCCGTAGGTTTCCACTCCAATAGACCTTCAGTAAAACATTTCCTATTAAGGCGCCTGACTTTAATTATTGGGCCACAACCCTGCGGCACTGTAACAAATTTAATGACATCCTCATCATCCATGTCGGTGGGGATGCCTGATACTACACCCATTCTAGTGATGTTAAAGGTGGGGATGATGGCAGTGTATTTATGTGAATTTAGTAAGGGTTTATTAAAAATGAGTTGGCATCCTGAGGGGATGCAAACTGTACTGACACCCTATTACGACCTACTTTTTTGACTCCATCTCTGACCACATTGTTAATTTTATTTTTAAAAAGGAAAACACCAAAAGAGACAGGGTGGAGAGTTGTGCCAGAACCCAATTGGGTCTCCATGCGGGAAACATGCACAATGTAGGGACCAGTATCATTTGTCGTGTACTTGTCACGACCTAGCGGGCTTCTTACTTGATTAGGGCTACGTTTAATAGGGGGGGTACTTACCTCATCGTTCACATGTCGTTTACGTGAGTTTGTAGCGAGAGGGCAATTATCTTGGACCGCTGCATTGCAGATCACAGTGGCAAACTGTTCTAAGGGGTTGGAAGGGGTTGAGGGTTGATCGGGTAGGGAAGGAGTAGGGGTGAAAGGAGGGGTTACTGGATATGGAATATCGGGAGGGTCGGGCGGTTTATTTCCGTTCATGTTCACTTACCGGTAATGTTTAGTTGCAAACAACACACCGTAACCAATAGGACAGCACAAAATAACAAAAAAAAAAAAAAGACCCAATAGTCACAAAATCACACAAGAATTCTAGACGCACGTGCTAACCAAACGGACGACGACAGACTACAATAAAGTTATGTATAGGATAAACGTCGGTTAGCTGTCACTGCGTTTCTGAACACGCAATGAACCGTTCAATAACTATCAAACAGATAAGCAGTTCCATAATCTGCCGTTAGATGGGTCTGTTTAAGAGATCAAGTTTAAAATTGGTTTTATTATTTTAATTCAGGATTATTACTAGCTTTATTTACGAGAATATTTTATTCAAGGGTAAATAAGTAAATAAGCATTGTTTTAGTTATAAATTATTAAAATTCGCTATTTATCAGCGGATGAATGAACGACATCGTAGTCAATTTTTTTTTAAATAAACGTCAAACTCATTGATGTCAAAAAAAAGTTTCGTCGAGTTTCATCGTGGTATTATTTTTCTTTGCTTTTACCGTGGTCTTTGTTATCGTTTGTGCTTTATCTTTTCTTATAAAAAATAACTATAATGGAATCTCGAAAACGTAGTAAAAATTTTACTGAGAGAGAGAAGATGCTTCTTATCGAAGTAGCCAAAGAATTTGTGTCTATAATCGACAATAAAAAGACGGATGGAACTTCTGTGGAGGCAAAGAAACAAGCTTGGATGGCGCTGACAAATAAATATAATGCTGTCTCAGAAACTGGCGTTAGGACTGAAAAGCAGTTGCATGCCTTACCTATGTGATAATAATAATTAAAATTTAAATTCCTTAATTTAAATTCTTTATCCGTAAACATTTCGAAAGGATTTCTCCTACGTCTTAGGTTTCTAGGTACTGAAATATTAGAAATAAACTCCAATACTTCCAAATCAGACTCTGATGAGCTGCTCGTATTCATTACGTTAATTTTAATATTAAGTTTTTACTGACAATTTAATAATAACAGTTATAACCTAAAAGTTTATGTAATTTGCTTGAAGCAAAACGTCAAATAAAGTTATGAAATCGATAAACGGCACACATTGGTCAGTTAAGTTAACCTAAGTTTAAACGGAGTTTATCTTACATTGCGATGTTCAGAAACGCACTTTCTTAGGTTATCGAACCAATAGCGCTAATGAATAGATAAACTGCCGTTAAAAGTTCCTCAGAAACCGGGCATAAGGGTGGCAAAGTAAAGAATAAATAATGTATTTTAATAGAGTTCATCGTGATAGGCAAAATCGTTGATACTTTAGACAGGTTTGCTGAACTACTGCACTTTTCGTTGTAATTTACAGGCGGGGCCGTGTATCCAAACGGTCAGCTGATCGTGTGCAGCGCATAGCACTTTCACTGCGCGCGGTGTCGAGGTCGCCTCGTGCGCTCTCATTCATGACTTCAGAGTAGATGACCCTGTTAGGACAGTTCCACACTCTTCCCTTAATAATATGTGTGTGTTATCTCTTTGTGATAATTGTCATATGTATCGTCATGAGGTATTCCGTATTCCCACTGGCTGACACATTAAGTAAAAAAGATCTTTCTTTCCAGTTTTTCTTTTATAGAAATTCTTAAAATTTTTTAACCTATAAATAAATATGTTACAGGCGCTGATATGTCATTCCAAGGCGAGTACGCGGCGCAGGTGCTGGGCTTGTCGGGCGACGCGCGCGACGAGTCAGGGACGTCGCCGCGTCCCACGTCGCGGCCGCTCTACCCTCACGACGCGCCCGCGCCGCACACCCCGCACGCCCCGCACACCCCCCAAGCGCCCCACACACCACACACCCCACACCCGCCCCCCTCCAGCCCATTTCGCAAGGACGACAAGGAGACCAACCATATAAATAAATTTAATAATGTAAGTCACTTTCTTTATTACAAGTTTGTTAACTATTCGCCGTGTACGTGTACATGTAACGATTATCGCTTCTGGACAAAATCTTCTTTATAAACTTTATTATGAAAACGCTAGAGAGGCACTCCTGTGTCTGCTGAGCGTAGTAAAACAATTGTAGCTACCGGGCATAGTGTGTACAGACCCGCTTTGACCTCTACACCGACTGTGGACACTGTCCATTATTAAAATTCTCTCTTCTTAAAAATACTTGCCCTGACTGATTCATTCATCATCGCAGATCCTAAACTGCTAGGGCTACAGACTTGAAACTTTGGCAGCTGATGCTTTTAATGTTATAAAAACACACCAAGAAAGGATTTATTGGAAATGTCATCCCTAAGGGGGTAAAACAAGAGATGAATAAAAATAATATGATAGTCTTAAATATACGTAAACGTTTTAAATATTGAATCTTTAAGTAAATACATGTTTTTATGAACATTGATATAATCTAAAAACTTGAATGTTTCAGCAACGGTACGCAGCAGGCAATGGTGGTGTGGAAGAAGAGGGTGTACTCGACCTCCGTGCGAGGGATCCCTCAGTCATCTCCGTTGGGTCCCAGCATTCGGGTGCGAGCGAACCTGCCGGATACTTAGACGCTGTTAGGTAAAGGTTTTAATATTTTACCTTAGCTCAGATATGTAAATATAATAAATGTCTACTAGTACGAAAAATCTTAAATGAAAATTAAACATACGAAGTTAACATTTAGAAATAAAGGAAACACCCAAAAAAGAATAACAAGACGAAAAAATAAATTATGTTTGAGGCACTTATCTGCAGCCAGCACGGATCTTGAGCGCTCGGCGGCAGAGGGGGGATCGCTTTGAGCATCGTGCGCTTATTGCAAAATAAAATGCACACCCATTTATTATTATTTATTTTTTCTTGGTATATAGAAATAAATAAAATTGAAGTGTCTGTTTGTAATGTCAAAATTATAGCTTTTTTTTCATGCTCACACGGTTATTTGCACGATATCTATGCCTAAAAACCAGTTTATTTTTTTTTTGTCTGTCTGTCTGTTCCGGGTAATGTTCTAGACTTATATGTTATAGACTATATAACTTTATAACTTAGGCTATGTTTACTCTCAGAAATAACCCTATAAAATTTTGCCCGGTCCGGCATCGAACCCACTAAGGTAGCGCTTTTTAAATTCCAGCGAACGAAGTCGCGGGATTTTTACCATGTTTAACTTCGGGAATTAGTTTCCGATATTTCGGCACTGAGTTCATCCGTGATCATGGCGCTTGCAACAGTGTCGTAATATCGGTAACTAATTCCCGAAGTTAAACATGGTAAATATACCGTTTATAATAACTTATCACTTATATTCTGTTCCAAAAGTTCTCAAAATTAAATTTCCTGTTGATAATTATTTTCTGATGGCTTCTATTGAAATGTACTGAATCCATTGTAAAAAATAAACATACGTCACTCACGTTCTCATTGCCATGATCCTGTAATACAGTTCAAGCCTCATTCATCAGATGGTTTATACCCTTTTCGCCTGTTACGGGCACTATTAACGCAGTCATTTTTCCAGTATTCAAAAAAAAAATTACTGAAACAAAAAAAAATACTGAAACACAAAAAATTTTTTTTACTGAAATATTAAAACTTGTGAATTGAATTTGATTAAGACAGGATCTTATGTATTGGCATGGTTGAGGAGGCTAAATACTGAAGTCTGAGGATTATCATCATCATGTAGATGCGTATTTCATTCAATGTTTCATCGGCCCATTAGCTCAGTTGGTTAGAGCGTCGTGCTAATAACGCGAAGGTCGCGGGTTCGATCCCCTCATGGGCCACGATTTTCGTTTTGTCTTTTTTTGTTTTGTATTTATTTTTATACTTTTAGAGTTTTATTATTGATAGTATTTTGTCAATTTAAACTAATTTACATAAACTCTTTTATTTATTAGAAAGAAATACTTGCACTGACTTTATGTTGTCAAACTATGGTATTGTTGTAATACGGAAATGAAAATTTTACCAACCCCTGTATTTAAAAATCAATTTTTCATCCCTCGGTAAAGGCCGATAACGCATTTATGAATGATCAGTTCCATTTGGTGCTGCCCACCATTAGCCATTTACCATCAGGTGACCGGTCTGCTCGTATGCTTAAACATAAAAGATATGTCCTGTATTTTCCTATAAATGGCCTTAATTTAGATTATTAAGTAAGAAGCATATCAGCTGTGATACTCATCATCATTTAAAATCAGATAGTGATATATAATCTGTGTGATAAGCATGCATTGGCACGCAGTTAAACCTCGGATTAAGATATTCTTTTATAATCATGACAAGTGGAAAAATTAATACCACTTTTAGTTTCTGATATTTTGATTAGATATATTATCTTAACATGTGAATTGTTGAATGATAATGTAATGTTAACAGTGCATAATTTCAAAACACAAGGCGTGACAAGAAACTTATGTTATTAGGTAGATTATAATTATTGTAATGTCATCATCGTCAACAGCCTTTAGTAGTCCACTGCTGGACATAGGCATCTCTTTGGAGGATGTTTTTTCCTACTATATCACGCTGGCCAGACAGGTTGGTATAGGGTTTGTTTTAAGTTTTCCTTCTCTATTTTTTCCTTTTTTTCCCTAAGTCGTCTCTTACGACACCCACGGAGTGAAATTGGTGGTGACACTCCGTATTCTTAATCCGTCACCACACTAATACGTACAAGATCTTCAAAAAAGTTGGCAGAAAGATCATAACGCTAGTATTGACTATGTATTTTGATATTAATGTATTTATAAATGTGTATGTTCATGTATTGTATGTGTATACTTGAGACCTCTATGTATATATGTAGTTATGAATATAGTATTTTATTTATAGTATATGTATGTAAGTTAGATTTATCTTAAATTAATAAATTTAATATAAAAGAGTCAAATTCTCTGTTTTCTCTTACACCTACAGCATCATTTTTCTACATCACCCGAAGGTCGACTGGCAGGGAATGCCTTGGGCATTTAGTCCGCCTGTGTACAACTTGTGCATTAAGTTAAATAAATAAATAATACGTTACACATGTATATATAATCAAGTATTTCTATAAATGGAATTGTTATATCGTCCCCCAGGTCTACGGTGTCGGTGTACTCGGGCAACTCCAACTCCAGCTCGGACCGCGACATCCTGGACCTGTCGATGCCGGACAAGAACTCGATGACGGAGGTGTGTTACGTGTGCGGCGACGAGTACAAGCGCGGCACGCTCTACAACCTGCACACCAAGGAGCCCAAGGACAAATCGGTAACCCTCAACACTCTCCCTATATACACTAGTTTTTGCCAACGTATTACCTCGCGTTTAACTAAACTAGTTTTTTTAAACGTATGCGATATTGAATGAGGATCGCATAGCTTCTACAATGCGAGTAAACAAACATTTTTCTTTTAAACACTTAACTAGCTGTGGGACACAGCGTACAACTCTCATCCGCACAAGCTATCTATGTGGTTAAGATTGAGAGGCCTGCTTACTTACAAGCAAAACATAGTACCTAAAATAATAGTGATCACCACGTCAGCGCCACGTCATATATGATCACAGTCTCACAGACAACTAAATACTCATGACCACAGATAGCGTAGTATAGTGTTGCACGTACGTCAATAGTTATAAGCTTTTAATAAAATAATTTAATTTTATTGTAGTTGTATTAATTGTGTAATTTATATTAAGTATGCTGTGATTTCTTACAGAATAAAGTTTTTTTTTTTATTTTATTATCTATGTCGGCTACGGCTTTGTCCGCGTGGTGTATAGTTATGTATTTTGCTTTGAAGCCTAATTCTGATATACCAGTCTGTGTCTGAGATTATTCACAGTAAACACGTAGACACTATTATTTATTCTAAGATAATAATTATTCTTAAAATAAATATTTTTTGTAAAACTACTGCGCGGCGGTAGTTGCTTACCATCAGGTGACCCGCCTGCTCCTTTGCCCCCTTATGACCAAAAAAAAATCGCGTGAACAATGTATTACTGATTACAAATCACATACCTCAGTGTTCTACGTTAAACATTATCTTTCAAACCTATATCAAGGTGTTATGTATTTTGGTGACGTCAAAATCAAACTAAATATTCGTTAAAATTAATTGAATGGGAGCGAAATTCTCTTCTTACCCGTACAAACCTCTCTTTTTCGTCCTCAGCCGGTCTGTCAAACCATTACATACGGTCGAAATGCGGCCTTACAACAGTAATAATATTTTCGGACACACAACGCCATCTAGTTTCGAACTATGCAGAGTTTGTGCTATGAAAGCTAGATTGAATAATAGAATACTAATTTTTTTTTTTTTGTAAATACATACAAAACACCCAACCTCCGAAACAAATAATTGCAGATTATACAAACATTTGCTCCGACCCGAGAGCTCAACACAGTACTCGCATACGCTATCACTGCACTACCAAGGCAGTCAAATAACAACAATACAACTAGATTAAAGGTTTGTTTATTTGACGACTCTAAAAACGGTCTGACAAATACGAGCACACAATATTTTTGTGGTCTTATTTTCGACATTATCGTCCCACGTCACCCAATATTCGGACTGTTGAAAATAATCCGGTGTGTGTTTAAAAACTGTGAAATCTACCACCGTAACATTAAGGTTTTGCAAGATATATATATTTTTTTTGGGTAAATACTAATTAGATTATATTGTAAAGTACATAAAAATTATTAATTAATGTTTTTAAACAAATATTTTATTATTTGGAACCACAGTGTCAACTATCCCGCCAAATATTGATGGTTAACAAATGCATGAATCCAAAATACCATCCGTGTGGTGACGGATTAAGAATACAGAGTATCACCACCTCTATTCGTCCTCTGGGTGTCGTAAGAGGACTAAAGGAACAAACTACGCGGGACAACAACACTGCAAAGGGGAAAAAACTATAAAACCCTTTTTTTTTACGTGTGGAAACCCTCTCGGGCCGTCACCTCGCCAGGGTTTGCGGCGAGATGGTGTATCGGAATCGGACCGACTAAAACCACACGGTGTGCCACTCTTCGCCTGTATAACATAATTGATACATAAATAAATACCATTTACCAACCCTGCCAGCGTGGTATAGTAAACCAAAACCTCCTGTCTAAGGAGAGACCTACTATTAAATCCTGTTAAAAATTGATGATAAAATATTATTAATATTATTTAACGGGAATTAACGCGATCTCTTATTTAGGGTATTACATACCTCTGGTTTGCCTGACGTTTCGACCAGGTTGCACCGGCCGTGGTCACGCCGTTATCATTATCATGGAACGCGAAAGTTTAAAAGATAAAATATTATGTTAAGACAAGCATACAATGATAAGGGTACGGATAAAGGGTCCGTAAAGAGAGTAAATCATATTCCTAACATTGGTCGGTACTCATCATCATCATCATCAACAGCCTTTAATAGTCCACTGCTGGACATACGCCTCTCCTTAGAAATGAGGTTTTAACCTACTATATCACGCTGGCCAGACGTTGGTATAGGGTTTGTGTCAAGTTTTCCATCTCTCTACAGTGCTATTGTTCTGCGTAGTTTTCTCCCTTAGTCGGCTCTTATGACACCCACGGGATGAATAGGGGTTGTGACACTCTGTATTCTTAATCCGTCACCACGCGGACCTCTACAGGACAAACAATTTATTTCTAACGACAAACATTGCTGATATGGCTAATTAACCGCTATGAACCCGTCTCAGAAACACACACAAGTCAACGATAATGCGATAACCTTTTACTCTAAGATGTTATATAAATAGGAAGTGAAAAACACTGTGGATGACTTTCACCAATCTATATACAATTCCTGCGTTTGTTACATCAGCACCATTAAGATTAATGATATTTTCCTTTAGTTAGTCTGTTATTTATCATAGGGCCTTTTTTTAATAGCATAGGTTTTTTTTAGGGTATAAGGGGGCAAACGAGCAGACGGGTCACGTGATGGTAAGCAACTACCGCTGCCCATGGACACCTGCAACTCAAAAGTCACAAGTGCGTTGCCGCCCTTGGAGTCTCTCTCGCTCGGGAGGGGGGATTTGGGCTCCAGTAACCTGACTCACTCAGTGAAAGGCAACGAAAGAATTGCTTAGAATTAGCTCGAAGTCGCATGTCTTGCCCCCATCTATCACGTGATGGACCCGGCACCCGCACAGTGAATCCATGGAACGATAAAAAATAGGTCATGATCTGGTAAATAAAGGATTTATAGTGTGTTATTTGGTTTCTAGTAGCCATAATAATTTAGATAAAATCAAATCTTTATTTCCTTCTTTAATTTTAAACTTTATTTAAAATTTCCAACGACTTTTTTCGACACTTTGTGTGATCCACAAATTGTTGTTCTCAGTCTGGGTGTTCTTTGTGTCTGTTTCATGTATGTTTGTAAAATCAACTGCGACACATGATGCATTGGACTTTACAAACATACATGAAACGGACACAAAGAACACAGAGACTCAGAACAACAATTTGTGGATCACACAAAGTGTTGGCCCATGTGGGGATCGGACCCACAGCACTCAGCGTAGTAGTGAGCGGACTGGCGACCGCTTAAACCACTACGCCATTCGTGCAGTATAATATATATTATTAGAGTGAATGAGATGCATGACAGATTAGTAAGGAAGCTTATACATACACTAGCTGACCCGCGCAACTTCGTCTGCGTCTCTCAATAGTAATAAATTTTCTCCGTTTTTGAAACATTCGTTATTGGTGCTCCGCTCCTATTGGTCTTAGCGTGATGATATATAGCCTATAGCCTTCCTCGATAAATGGGCTATCTAACACTGAAAGAATTTTTCAAATCGGACCAGTAGTTCCTGAGATTATCGCGTTGAAACAAACAAACAAACAAACTCTTCAGCTTTATAATATTAGTATAGATACATGTTTCGATAGCGTTCAGTCGTCAGCGATAGGTTAGTGTCCACAGCTCAGCAAGATAACCTCATATTTGACGTGCGTAACGCAGTTCCGTTACTAATTATTATTTTATTGTACTATTCCATTTTGTCATGTTCCACTTTGGTACGTGTTGTATTGTAACATTATCTGTTCTGTGTTGTGACCTTGATTTTTTTATTTATTTACTACTCCAGTTATGAGCCATCTTGCGTTCTTGAACGATAACTCATACTTGGCTGTTTTATTAGTTGGTTAAAAAAAGAGTTTAGATTTGACGATTTTAAGGGTCTGATTTTTTTTTGTATTTCCATCATATTATTGGCTACTTAGACTACTATGAGTATCAGTTACTTTTAAAGAGCAGCTAATGTGTGTATGTGATGTAAAGTGTCGTGTGGATATCATCAACATCAACAGCCTTTAATAGTCCACTGCTGGGCATAGGCCTATCCTAAGAATGGAGGTTTTGGTATAGGGTTTGTGTCAAGTTTTCCTTCTCTCCGTGGGGTATAGTGGGTAAAAATGTTTTCTTTTGTGAGTGTCATTTTTTTTTATGACAACATTTGACTACCCGATATCATGCTTGGCTGACTTGCTGATTGAAAGTTGTATATATGTTAATCGGCGTGCGAATTACGCGTATCGCGATACAGGATCAGCATTTACTCTGTAGTTCGGTGTGTCTTCCATAGATAGCGCTGTAGTATGTTTATTTTCACCTTATGTGGAAGTTGCCACAGAGGCCGTAGTATGAATCAGGTCGAGCCGGCACATTTGTGCCGAAGTACAGCTCTCCTATGGTAATCTCCCATCATGAAAACGACATAGTAATGTGTTTACAAAGAGACGAGGGATACCTGAATTAAAGTTATATAAGAAGCCCCGGGCTAGTGAGAAATAAAATCGCTAAGTATATCAAACTTTGTCGCTGTAATATTTAGATATCAGATTAAGTATTTTTTATCAACATAAGTGTATACAAGTAAGTTGTCACTTTAATTATCTATCCTTAACATATCACGGAGATAAGGGTGACGATTATAAAGGATTTAACAGCCTAATGCGTTGTTTATGTAGATATAACAATAGATAACGTGCGTTCAATGACTTGACTTTATACCTACCACAGATGTATTATCTCAGCCGTGTGGAGCGTATTTAATTGTAGTCACAAGTCAAGTGTCGAGATTGAATCATTATGCAAACGTCTAGATTTGACTTTACGGCATATGGGGGTAAAGGAGCAGTCGGGTCACCTGATGTCAGGTGACCCGACTGCTCCTCCGCCCATGGACACCTTCAAATCATGACTCAGAAGTG